AGGCACCCCAAAGCCTGAGTGTCTTTTGAGGTACAGTTACCTCAGGGAGGATCATCAAGCAGCCAAGGGAGAGCATGTGAGCATTGACTGGCTCGGAGTATGGACTGTAGTAAGGTTGCAGTCAAACCCCAAGATGGTATTAGGAGGTATTGACACCAAAACTCCTTCGTAATTTTATACAGAGTCTGTGTGTTTTGATGGGGGTGGTATATGGAGGCCCTTTACTTTCTACTAGTTATCTATTATCATAATAATACTACATCGCAAACCACATTAAAAATAGATGGCTTATGACAATAAGCTTCTTAGAAGTCAGGAGACCAGGAGTTAGTTGCTCATTGAGGCTGGGTTCAGCTGGCTGGTTTTTTTGGTCTCCAGTGGGGATGTGGCATTTTGATAGCTGTTAGCTGGGAATAGGATAGCAAGGGGGCCTGTGTATCTCATTCTGTAGCAGGCTAGCCCAGGCATGTTGTTATGGCAGAGGTCAAGAGAAAGAAAGTAGAAATGCATGTGATCTTTGTGCCGGGGCTTGGAACTGGTGCATCATCACTCTGTGGCATCCTGTTGACTGAAACACATCACAGATTCAAAGGATGAGGAAAGAGACCCATCTATGTAGAAAACGGAACTTCAAAGTCTTATGGCAAAGAGTGTGGGGACAGCAAGGCATGAAGAATCTGGGCTATTTTTTTAATGTTTATTTATTTTTGAGAGAGAGAGAGAGAGAGACAGAGAGCGAGTGGGGGAGGGGCAGAGAGAGAGGGAGACACAGAATCTGAAGCAGGCTCCAGGCTCTGAGCTGTCAGCACAGAGCCCAAAGCAGGGGCCTGAACCCACAAACAGCGAGATCCTGACCTGAGCCAAAGTCGGACACCCAACCGACTGAGCCACCCAGGTGCCCTGAATCTGGGCTATTAATACAGTTATTCTAGATACATTTATTCCTTCGAAGAAACATTTTTAATCAGAGAATTTTAACTTTTTCAGGCTTTATTAGATGTCAAGCTGCGTATATGTGACAAAAATACAGAATTAGAACATGGAAGTTATGAGAGTGATACCTGTAGAGTTGACTTCTAATTCTGCCCACAGGAAAGAGGAACAGTGCCTTTTCTCCAGTCAAAATGACAAATTTTGTGCAATATATATTAAAATATCCATCAGTTTTGGAGATTTCAAAGCATTCCATGGTATCATTTCTAAGAAGCATTGGGAATTTATGATCTATTGTAACCAGGTTCTATCAGGGGTCCCTGTAACCTGGCTATTCTTACTCTGTCTCCAGTTTCCCTTAATGTTCATGTTGTTTTCCTTAAAACTAAGTCCTTGTGGTGCAAGTGGAGAAACGAGAAACCAATCAATGGGAAACTTGGGCTAGTTTCTTCCAAACTGTTAGCAGTGAAATGTTTCTGGTGATACAGCTACAATTTAGAAACCTGAAATGATGCATAGGCTAACTATATTTTGAGTCTCTCTTACTAAACCCACTGCTCCAGCTGTAGAAATAGACTTGAGGGGCACCTGGGTGGCTCAGTCGGTTAAGTGTCCGCCAGTTGATCTTGGCTCAGGTCATGATCTTGTGGTTTGTGAGTTCAAGCCCCGCATCGGGCTCCATGCTGACAGTGCACAGCCTGCCCGAGATTCCGTCTCTCTCCCTTTCTCTGCCCCTCCCAACTCACTCTCTCTCTCTCTCTCAAAATAAATAAATAAACACTAAAAAAGAAATTGACTTGAAATATGGACTCTGTTGATCATAAACAAATGAACCATCATCAGAGAACTTGCCTCACTTTTAATGTTTTTAGGAAAGGGTGAAATTTTCCTCAGAGTAACTTACAAACCAGTTTTTATTAAATGTATTGAAAAACAGTGAGAAAAAGATACATTACCTGCACAAGTAGGTAACCAAGTATACCTGTCTGCTGAGACCTGAGGGGTTTTCTGAAGCATGGGCTGTCAGCGCTCAAATGTGGAATATCTCAGGCAAACTGTGACAAGTTGGTCACCCTATTCACAAACATGCCTTTTGGACGGATAGTTGATAATCTGGCAATATTTCCTATGGGTCAAACAAATTTGGTTAAACTGAGTTTTAAAGTATTCTATGTCTGTAAGACAGACATAGTTTTATCTCATTTTTGTATGGAGAATTCTAAGTCACTCTACTTTACTTTGCTGTTCAAAGCCGAAACTGAAAGAAGTGAGGTAGAACTTATTTCACTTATGTGAATATTGGCTAAAGGAATAAAAATAAATACTTTTACATAATATAAATACCAGAAATGAGATGTCATTATATTTTTAATGGTTATTTAAAAAACCCTAATTTATCTATTGCTTTTTGACTCTGCCAAACAAAGGAGCAATTTGATGATTTCTAAGATACTCCCAGCTAGAATGTTCTAGAACTCTGTAATAAAATGTATTATTCTCCATTAGGAGAGAAATTACTTCAGGATGCAGACCGACTTGTAAAGAGTTAAATAGTACTGCGAAATGCTGCCATTTTAACAGAACATTTTAAACCAACGAAGTATAGTAACTCCTGTTATTGTTTATTTTCTTTCTAGTCTAGAGAAATTTTTTTTTTCTTTTTAATCTGCCAGAAGGGACCTTTAGGATTTGAGCCTTAACATTGTTCTTAAGACTTGAATTTATTTTTTAATTAGAGTTAAAATAAAAATAAATGTTCACTTTCTAGAGCTATGCAAGTTTGCAAAGGAAAAAAAAAAAGAAACTTCCTCATCTGAAAAGATTTAATGGTAATCTATGCTGTAAAAGAGCATTTTGAAAAATATAAAACAAAGAGCTTTCAAAGTGGTCAAAGACTAATGTAAAGTGATATATTTCAGACCGGAGAGATGGTGTAACTTACTCCTGTCACTGCTGCCTGTTTATTGTGTTTGTCTGGTTGGCCCGGCAACCAGCTCATGCCATTTCACTCATTTTATAACGTTCCTGTAAATGTTAGGTAGGTCTGGATTTATTATACACTGTCAACACCTAAAATGGAACCCACTGCTTAACGTAGTTTATTTGGCTGGATGCCTCTGCCTCCTTAAAAAAAAAAAAAAAAAAAAAAAAATTGTGTGTGTGTGTGTGTGTGTGTGTGTGTGTGGTGTGTCAAAGGAAAAAAAAAAAAATCCTGTAGTGCTTCCAAAAGAAATGTAGCCCAGGCATAATTGAAGTTGGGTGGCATGGGCTATGTCAAAGGAGCATTTGAGCTCAGGAGCTGTCGTGTTGTTGGGTGGGGACATCTGACTCACAATATTTGTGACTTGGGTTTAGAAGGACATAGGACCAAGAGTCATGTTTATTGCTGAATTTATCATCCCCAATGAAACCAGATGGCCAATCACTGTCGTCCAGAAAGGTCTGTGAGCCGTCAAAGGATGAATCATAAGCCTATTAGAAGTTGGACAGATTTCTTTCCTTCTTAGTAACATGCTCGTTTCACCCGTCTGCTCTATGACAAAGCAGATTTGATGGAGGCCCAAAAGATACAATCCTGGAGAGGTTACATGTTCGGATAATCTTAATCAAGCTTATATGTACTTTTGAGATAGTGGAGCATGAAGGTGAAACATTCGAGGAGCCAAAGTGGTTTAGAAATATGAAAGGGAAATGTGATAGTCTGGCCACAACCAATGGCGGCAGGCTCAGCCCAACAGTAATGAAAATCACAGACAGGTACCTCTGCTGCCTTGCTCTGGGTCCGCCACACATTGAATCTGTGTCCTGTTCATTCAGTTCCTTCAGGAAGGGGGGTTGGCTATGAGTGGGAGTAGACTTTTGTTAACAGCTCTGTGCAAAATCAGTGAACAGATCTTGAAATCCTATATTCTTTTGTCTACCGGGGATCAATGAGTTCATCCGGTTCATTCCTCTATCAGTGTGCATTTTTCAAACAGGATGATTGGGTGCTGAATGCAAAAGTTTTAATAGAAAACTTTTATTTGTGGCTTTGCTTGAAGTCACATTCTTCCTGTCTCCCTCCTCGGTGTGCATCTAATCATTATTTTAAAATTTACTTCCATCTCTCCATCCAACCTGAGTATTTTATGAGTTAACTCAGGAAGGAAAATTTTTCCTAGAAAAGGACATCTCTCCTTCTAATCTCCAGCCTCCAAACCTAATAAACATGTGGCATAAACTTTCTGAGGGAAAATGGGAACATTTGTTTTTAAAGCTCTAAACAGTATGTGTGCCCTTTGATGTAAAACAAATAGACTTCAGGGAATTATCTTTAAAGAAAAACTGTATATATATAATGTGTGTTTGTCATACTTGTGTGTGATATATACACATACATATGTATTTGTTATTACATTGTGCCTGTAATGTACATGTTATATTACATGCATTATGCTTAGTCCATGTTATGGATATGTTCTCAAGTGTTAGGAAAAGTTTTATTTAGGTGATACAAATGGACAAAATTTGCATGCGCACACATGCATATGGCGTGCTTGTTTTTTTGTACTGAGTAGGTATTCTAAACTTAAGTAAGACAAAACATTTTAACTTTGGTATTTCTCTGTAGACAAAACCAAAATCATGCAGTGTCACCATTATGTAGCCACTGTGGCAGGGTAACTGATTACAGAGTTTACTTGATGCCTCAAAGTAGACTTGGCCAGTGTCATTGCAACTGCAGTAATTGGTCTGTGGATGCCTCAGACCGATATGACTAATTTATAACTCCATGTAACCTATCTCACTAGCATTCTGAATATGGACTTCCTAGGTCCATCTGTGACAAAGAGGCCATTGGTGGTGGTGGAGGAGGTCTTCTGGCTAATCAACAGGATTATATGGCATTTGTAAAGGGAAAACCTTTATTAGTTAAATAGCACTTTTCATGACAAAATCTTAAAATAAAAACTAATTGGGGGGGGTTGGTCATTGTGTGTGTGTGTGTGTGTGTGTGTGTGTTGTGTTTTATTTTTATTTTTGCCATGAAATAACTCATTGTTTGAATTTATCCTTGCTGGCTCCAGAGGAAAGATGAGATTTGAATTTTGATCCCACCAGTGAGCTGGAGGCACAACGGAATGGCAGCCTAGAACAAGCAGTATAAGAAAAGCACCATTTATGGGGTGAGTCCATTCTTCACAAATCTAACATTTCAACTTTATTATTCAATGAAATACACATACATGTCTACTGGGTTTTCTGTTAGTCCAGTTTTTCTATTCTTTGGCTTATATGCTGTATTTTAATTTTTTTATGTGTCATTGTTCTTCACCCCTGCCCTATTTTCATCATTTTTCTTGTCTAGGCTCAAATTATTATTATTTAGATGACTCCAAAACCACTTCACCAGTTAAAACAATGCCACACTAGATTTTAATTGTAACCAACAAATCCTTGCAAATTAACTTTAGAGACTATATTATTGAATGTTCTCAATTAAGGATATGGCTTTATTTGAATCCTTGCTTAATTTTCCATAATTTTTTATAGTTCTTAGTATATAGATATATTTTCAAGCTGGCTATTTCTAGTATGTATAGAAAAATTATTGGTATCTGTGTGTTTTGGGGGAAAAAACTTCCTGTACTTCTATTATGATTTCTAATATTTATTCACTTCATTCTCATGCTTTCCAGGGATAGAATATTTCATCTACAAAGAGTGGCATGTAGTCTCATTTTTTGTTTGGTTGTCAGTTTATTGCATTGAGTAGAACTTCTAGAATAATTGATGTAATGATGGCTGTCCCTGTCTCTTTTCTGACTATAATAGGAATTATTCCATTTATGTTTTAAGTATTTTGTCACCCATTGATTTCTATCATTTCCCATTTTATTATTACATGTCAGTTTTTAAATGATTCGTTATCTTAGACATGTATGGGGAGATTTCTCTTTTGACATATTCATGTGATGTTTTATATAAATAGAATTTCTAGTATTCGTCTATATTAAATTTGGGATATACGCTGATTGGTCATGGTCATTGGTCCATTACATGAAAATATTAGTCTTTGGCTGTTGTTTTCACAACATCTCAGTGCCCTAGAACATTAGCTCATAGTAGGCACTCAATCAGCATTTGTTGAACGAATGGATACAAATAAATTTCCAGGAAATATAAGTTCTTGAGTGGATAAAATAGCATCTCTTATAAAAAGATAGATCTTCCTAATAATTCCCACATAAGTTATATTTCAGTCACATAAATTTCCATGATAAAATTCAAATGCTTTATTTTGCTCTAGCCATTTTGAACTCCTGTTTGTTTCTCTTAAATGTCTGGCCCACTCTTACCTGTGGTTTCTGTACCACTGTTCCATTTTCCTGGAATGCTCCACTTGTAGGCACCCACACGGTTAACCCACTTCCTTCATAGCTGTATACACATTATCTTTTCAAGGAAGTCAACCCTGATTTTTCCTCAACCCTAAATAATCCTATCACTTTGAAAATGTTCTCCATGTGATTTGCCCTTTATTCACTGCTCTGGCCATACTGTTTACAGCATATACTAGGTGTTTTGTATCCTTCTAAAAACTGTGGGCAACAGACTTCATTGAATGATCTAGAAAGTGCAAAAATCTAAAATCGAGCAACTTACAACTCCCTCCCCTCAGAGGTACAGATGGATTTTTTTAAATAAGTTCTTGTAAGGACAGTATTACAAATCTTGGTCCAAGCCATGTCAGCTGGTAAAACCTGATTGCTATCTGCTCAGAAGGCTCATTGAAAATGCCACTTTATCCACTTTAAGAAAGAAATCTTGTCACATCCTGTCTTCTTGTCCATTCCATTTTGGCTCTTGGTAGCTTCTTCTGTAAACATGATAAAGAAATGTTGGCAATTCTGCATTAATGACCACCTACATAATGAGATCAAATCTTAATTCTTGGTGACAAACAGAGTAAATATATGGGTAGTTTGTTTAGGCTCTATTTTGAAATGACTTAGTAGCCTGTGAAAACAAAGTTTAACAGGCTCATAAAAGTATGCTGTCTACATAACTAATGTGGACTTTGTTTTTATGTTGCCTATTACAGACTATAAACAGTAACAGTGGAGTCTATCTTTTATTCCATAGAGCTGTAAAATGTCCTGGCTGTGACAACATATATACTAAACACACTTTGTAAAGATGGTTGCATTTATTTTATATGTAAATGAAAACAATAAACTGTTAAAAACACAAAATGCAGATAAACACATTACACTTGAAATGTACTTAAAATTACATAAAATACAAAGGAGTTGTATTTTAATGTCTACATTGTCATTAGAGAGGAAAACTTTCCTGCAGCAAACTTTGCATGTTTAAAATTGTTCCTTAATCAGCCTCTTATGGAATTTCTGACAGCAGAGGCAGGACCCTGTCAGTGGACTCATGACTGCCCCTTTTAATTATCTCACAATTTGCTCACTGGTTTTGGGTAATTGCAACAATTTGCTTGCAGAAACCTGTGAGGAATCAGATGTTAATTGACTTTGTCTTGCTTAATCAGCCCCTCAAGAAACAGGCTTCATTTTCCTGACTGTTTCTTAAGCTGTGTGCTGGCATCCTGTGATAGAGTGGAAAGAAAACATACAGACAGTTGCCTTGGTATTGGCTGGCCAAATCTGATTATGAGTCCAACTCTGAATGGAGAGTTTCCAGGAATTAGCAGAGGGGCCTAGAGAAAATACTCAGAAATGTGAAGTGACACTAAAAAGTGTTTCTATAACTTATATACAGCATAGTAAAAAGGTAATACACATTTAAAATCAGGGTTCAAAGCTTTGATTCCACTGCTATGATCTGGAACAATTTAGATATAATATACAGCTCAATTTATTAGAGTGACCCATTTGTTTGGCTGTTTGGGATCTTTCCCGGTGTCACAATTCAGCATCTTTGATTTACCTTCTCACCTCACAATAACTTCCCAATTTCTACTTATCTTTTTGCCCTGCTCTTCTCAAAGCCTCATAATAACGATAACTGAAGAGTGTCTACATTATCTAGAATCTAGTAGATACCCCCCAAAAATATACAGCCCTACAATTAATACCCTATTTTTTCTGTACCCTTGATTCTATGAACCCAGGAAGTTAGTGAGCAACAGGGAGGGGTGGAGAGTTGGGAAAAATATCAAGTAGTGAAAAGAATACTATTTTTTTCCCATCCATAGATCATTTTCCATGTCAGCCACTTTCCTTTGTATCATTTACTTCATATAACTTTTAGGTCTTTAGGTGTTTCTCATAAGAGATAGTTACTATTTAATCTTTCCCATGTAAGTCCTAGTTTGGCCACTTAATGATGCACATCTCTGGGAAGCTGCCTTAGTCTGTGCCTCAAGTCTTTTTAATCAGTGTTGTGTGATGAAGTAAGTTTATAGATTTCAAAATGTTGAGCCACCTTTGCATTCCTGATTTGAATCTAGTTTGATCATCATGGAATCTCTCTTATTACAATGTAGAATTTAGTTTGATGATATTTTCTTTGGAATTTTTATCTCCAAATTTATGAATAAATGATAATTTCCTTTTTTTTCCTCTCCTTCTACCCCCTCCCCCCCCGCTGCCTTTTTTTTGCATGGTTTTAATACCAAAATTATACTGGCCTCAAAGAATGAGTTGAGACATAGGCTTTCCATTCTCTAGAGATTTAAATATGATTGGAACAATCTTATCCTTACAATTTTGGAAAAACTCTCATAAAAGGCTGCTGCCCTGGTGTGTGTGTGCGTGTGTGTGTGTGTGTGTGTGTGAGAGAGAGAGAGAGAGAGAGAGAGAGAGAGAGACAGAGACAGAGAGAGAGAGAGACAGAGAGAGAGAATATTTTAAATGTACGCATTATATTTTTTAGAGCTTTCAGGATATTCTCTTTGTGTACTAAAATCTACAAAATTATCTGCTTATCTAAATCTCAAATTTATTGGTAGAAAGTAGTTCATTATGTCCTTTCTTTAAAGTCTCTTATGCGTTTATTTCTGCACCTAATTATTATTACTTTTGATCTTCAAGTTTATTTAACTTTAAAAAAATAAATTTAGTTTTGTTGATACCTTTATTGAATCTTTATTTTTTATTATGCTGATTTATGCTCATAACTTTACTATCTCTTTCCTTCTACATTTTAAGAATTACTCTATAATTCATTTTCCAACTTGTAAGGATGGATGATGCTTAATTCATTAATTTTCAGCCTTTCTTTTTTTTCCTAAAACTGTAAATCTTCCATGTAGCTCCATTTTTCTACATGCCACAATTGTTGATATGTAGTGTCTTCATTTCCATTCAATAATTATATTTCAATTCTCCATTATGTTTTCCTAGAATTACATTTTTTATTACCAAATGTAAATAGATTTGTACTGTTTTTCTTGACTTTTAACATAATTGTGTTATTTACTAAAAACATGTTCTATATGTTACCTGAAATTTATTGAGTCCTGAATTATGGCCTCGTAGCACACATTCAGTTTTCCTAAAGTTTTATTTTATATTCAAGAGGAAGTTGTATTCTCCACCAGTAGATGCATAATTTCATGTATGCCCATTAAATGAAGTTTGTTAGTTCTGTTGGTAAATTTTACATAGGTTTATTGTTTTTTTTGTTTACAACTTATCATTGAGATAGGTATGTTGAAACCTCACACTATGATTATGAATTTGCTAATTTCTTTTTGCAGTTCTATCCATTTTTGGTTTATGTATTCTGGAGCTAAGTTAGTAGATGAATACAAGATTAATCTTTTTATCTTATTGATGAATTCAGCTCTTTATTACTAATCATATAATTAACCTATTCCTGATAATGCTTTTGTCTTAATGTATTCTTTGTATGATATTGAGATTCAGCTACCTTTTGTTGATTATACCCTGAGTATATGTTTTACAGTCCCTTTATTTAAATTTTTAAAAATGTGTGTTTTTATGTTATAGAAGAATGTCTTACGAGCTGTTGAGGGCTCAAGGTTGGCATATTCTGAATAAATATTTATAAGCTGGGACTTTTTAGATATAATTTGATTATCTCTGTGTTTTAAATAGCAAGTTTAGGGGCGCGTGGGTGGCGCAGTTGGTTAAGCGTCCGACTTCAGCCAGGTCACGATCTCGCGGTCCGTGAGTTCGAGCCCCGC